ACCTTCTGTAGCCATAACACTCCACCGGGGACACACAGCCACCTGGTGAATGTTCCCCGAGGCTGGATCGTGCCGTGCTGTGCAAGGGCTCTAACAGGCAGGAACGACACTGCCAGGTCCTCCCAGCCCCGGCCCCACAGCTCCTGTACCACCTGTCTGGTGAGTGGGGGTGCAGGCAGGAGCAGACGGGTCGAGGGCCTAGGTGTGGGCGCTCTGCATGTTCCCAGCCCTCCCTAGCCTGGTGACGTCCTGCTCCCAAGCAGGCAGCTAGGGGGGTGGCTGGCGCAGCTACTCTCTGGGCATCACGGAGAAATGAGGTCAGAGCAGAGGCTGCCGCTGGGGAGGGAGGTATTTCTGGCTGAGCAGGTGTGGCCTGTGCTGGCTTCCTGGCACTGAACCCAAGGTCTTTTCAGCTGTCCTGGCATTGGCAGTGTGGCTGGATATTTCTGGAAAGTGGAAGGGAAGACAGCTGAAGTGCTGAGCTGGAGTCCAGGCAAATGTGGTCAGGCCTCTCCAGGAGGGAGTCCACTCCCAGAGCAGGCTGCCTGGGGGGCTTGTTGGGCACTTTGCCTTTTGCCTGGGGTCCTTGGTTGCCCCCAGCAGGGCTTGCACCCACAGCCTCTCGGGACTTCCAGGGGCTTTTGCCACAGTGCCAGGAAGTGATGTGGCCCTTCAGAGGGCTCTCTCTGGGCATTCTGTCCCTGGGGTCAGAGTCAGCCTGCCAGGGAGCTGGGTCCTCAGGGACAGAATCTGCCACATGGTGTGTCCTCACCTGTCACCACCACCACTTCCTCATTTGTGACACGGGCCTCAGACTGGTGGGGGGGGGGGGTCTGTGGGATGAAAGGAGGGGCGTTTGGAAAGTTCTGGCCAGAGCAATAATCGTTGGCATCTGTTCTCACCTCTGATTATTGAGATTTACCATGGGCAGGTCACATTTCAGGATGCAGACAAGTTCCAGGTGCATAGAGGAGAAGTGATGAGGGTGGCCTAGAATCCAAGCTAGTTCCTCCAGACCACCTTGCCCCTTGTCTTGGGGCCAGGAGGCTGCAGGCCTCATGATGTGGGCTCCACAGTGAAGCTGCTGCATCTCCTTGTTTACGGATGAGCAGGGGGCCTCGCAATCATCAGGCCAGCCTGCCCTGTCAAGGTGGGGAAACAAGCTCAAGACGTGCCCTCCCCCAGGCTCCTGGCCGCCCGTGCCTGGATCCTGTGTGCAGTGCTGCCCGGCCATCCCACCAGGTGTCGAGCAGGAGTTGCAAACTCAGCTTCTCCAGACTGGAGCTCAGCGGTGCTTGCTAGACCTCGACCCACTCTCCCAGGCTCCGACTCTTCCCCTCTTTCCTCTGCACATCCAGACCATCAGCTGGGTCATGTCAGCGACACCATCACAGTCTGTTCAGTCCACCCCCTTCTCACCCCACCAGGTTCCCACCCAGTCCAGCCCCAGCGTTGCCTGCCTGGACTAGTGCAGTTATCTCTTCCCGTCTCCTCTTTCCCCCTTCTTCCTGCTGCAACATCCACAGGACCCCTGTGAGCACCAGCAGCAGGGTGTGGTCCTTCTCTGCTCACAGCCCTCTGTGCCTCCCACCTCCCTTGGGAAAAAGCCCAAGCCTTCCCTGTGCAGCCCCTGAGGCCTGCAGGACCTGCCCTGCCACCTCCCTGTCCTCATCTCCTCCCACCCTCCCCCTTGCTCACACGCTCCAGCCTCATGGGCCTTCTCGATGTTTCTGTTAACACGTAGGCACAGTCTGGCCTCAGCGTGTTTGTACTGTTTCTTCTCTGCCTGAAATGCGCTTCCCCAGAGAGGCACATGGCTTGTTCCCTCCAGTCTGTCAGATGTCTCTTGTCAGGGAGCCCCTTACTCCTGACCCCCCATCCTCTATATCTCCTCCACAGCACTTAGGACAGCAGTGCCCCTATGGTCTGCCCCTGCTCCTATCCCCCCTCCCCATCACACAGACTGTGAGGCTGTTCTCATAAAGGTGAGGCTTGACTTTGCTCACTTCAGTGTCCCCAGGACTTGGAGCAGTGCCTGAGGCACTGACCTTGGCAGACTGGGGTTAGTGCCCCTCACTCACTTGGTCCCACTCTGCACTGGGATCCTCCAGTGGCCTGTAGAATGGGGGTGCCTTCCCAGGGAGCCAGATGGCTGCCAGCATCCTTTCAGCTGTGCAGTGAGGCTACAGCCACAAGGGGGCAGTGTGGAGAGTGTCACCGGCTCAGCAAGCTGGAGGCCGCAGCCCGGTCTTGATCCTCGTCTTCTGCACGGTGAACGCTGTTAGTGGTGGTGGGTGGAGGTGGTCTTGTAGGCAGCGGAGTTCTGTACCGGCCCCTGGGAGCCAGCCTGAGTGGACATCATGTCAGCAGCACTCTGACCGCGTGGGTTGATGGGTCCCTCTTCGTGGCCACAGTCGGGATGTGGGGGAGGGCATGAGCGCTCAGCCAGTGCCATGCTTGTGACCACCACTGCCAGTTGCTAGCATTTGTCTAATAATGTTTACTCTTAACCATGTTGATTCGTTCTGTACAGGGGACCTTACGTAGTCCATCCACTCCTCACTTAGCACGTGGATAGGTCCCACAGACCGGGTTGTTATGTGAAAATAGCATTATGTGATAATGGAGGATGACCACATGGGATCACAGAGTGAAGAGAGACCACGTGATCACATACCTGCCAAATTACCGTATTGAAAAAAACAAAACAAAACAGCAACCCACTGCCATTGAGTTGATTCCGATCATAGTAACCAAGTAGGACAGAGTAGCTCTCCACAGGGTTTCCAAGGCTGTAAATCTTTACAGAAGCAGACTGCCTCATCTTTATCCCACAGGGCGGGTGGGTTCGTACTGCCAGCCTTTCGGTTAGCAGGCATATACTTCAACCACGATGTCACTTTAACCACTATGTTCGTCACATTATTATGTAACCGCCACACTTCATCGTTACATAACTACCAAACCACTGAGAATCATGGCCCAGCCAACTTGTCACATAACCATCACATAACCAGCTTTTAGTCTTCTCTCATACCTCTCATAATTACTGCCAGATTAACGACCAGAATAGTCAGATAGCAGATCTTTCACTGTTGTCGTAAATGTCAAATATTGGGTGACGATAAGTGAGGAGTGTTGTTGTTATGTGCTGTAGGGTCGGCCCCGACTCATAGCAACCCCTCCTTGGGTTTCCGAGGTGCTATCTCTACAGAAGTAGATTGCCTAACCTTCCTTACTAGGAGTGGCTGGTGGGTTTGAATCGCCAATCTTCTGGTTAGCAGTCAAGTGCCTTAGGCACTGCACTACCAGAGCTCCTAAGTGAGGAATAGGTGTGCTTATTTTTGCCATTGTCTGTGTAGTTCTTACAGCAAACCGGCAGGTAGGTAGGGGTGGCCCACTGCTCAGGTGAGAGGTTGGCAGGTCTAGAGAGGTTGGGTAACTTGTCCGGGGCCACACAGCCAGGAAGTAGGTGAGTCCTGACTTGAGAGCTGAGTGTGAACTCAGCTCAGGAGGTGGGCCTACCACTGGCCCTCACACCTTCACCCTCCTCTGAGGGGGCTGTGGGAACTGGGGTGCTGCCTCAGAGGGCCCACCAGTGTCAGCCCATCAATGTGGCCTTCCTGCACATGGGGTTGCCAGTGACGGAGGAGAGCCCAGTTTCCAGGGAGCAGAGCCCCTGTGGCCTGGTCAGGCAGTGGTTTCCCTTGGTGAGGGGTGCCCAGGAGACAGGGCAGGAGGATCTGGCTGGGCAGGGGCAGAGGCCTGGGGGACTGGTGTGGGGACAGGAGCTGAGGGGAGGGGTGGGGCCTTGGGGCCCAACCCACGTGACCTTGGCAGGTGCAGTGTCTCCTGCCCTCCCAGATATTTCCAGAGCACAGTCCTACCCTGGCCCTGTTCTGGTGCTGGGAGACATAGACCTGGCCCCCCAGAAGCAGACACTCTAGTGGGGACACAGCCGTTCCTCTGTGTGGAGGATCAGGAAGGCCTCCTGAGAGGACCTCTACAGGCCTGAGAGGATCAGGGAGACCATTGAGTTTCTGGAGAAGCTCCCTGTGGGCAGAGACCCACGACACCCTAGGCCCCCCACTGTGGTGGCGCTCTCGGGACCTTTCCCCTGGGCAGTGGGGACAGCGGAGCCTCTGCTCCATCAGTTACACCTGCTGGGCTGTGGGCCTGGGTGCCCTCCTGCAGGTGGGGGCTGCAGCCTGGCCCCAGGCCCCTCCTACAGGGTGGGCTGTGGGCACTGCCCGCCCCCTGGCCCTGGGCCATGCCCTCACCTCGTGCTACCACGAGTTGCTGTTGGCCCGGCCCTGGAATGTCGGGCATCTGTGTGAGAATTCCTTCCCAGCTAGTAGAACTCATCACAAGCCACTCGCCTGTACCCCAGCCCAGGGTGCCTGTATGTCCTTGTCCTCTGCCTCCCCATTATGCCCCTCTGAGGCCACTGGGACACACCTCCTGCCTGTGACAGCATCTGGACCTTGGGCAGATGACACTCCCAGCCCTCACCTCATTTCATATGTCGAGTACACTCTGCCTCCCACCCCGCTATGGGAGCAGCAGCACCTGTTCCTTGGTCCCCCTAACCTCCGTGGGGACAGGAAGGGTTGTGGGGGCTCCCCTCAAGGGGTCCCACCACTCCTCCCTGCCCATGGCCCTCCTCCTCCCCAGCGATGGGAGTGTGGGGCCTGAATCTACCCTGCCAGCTGGCACCCTCTGACCCCAGGCCTGGGCACGCCCTGAGCCCGCAGCCCAGCCCTCCTCAGGTAGGGTGGGGTGCAGCACATGAGGGGTCCCTACATTAGGTTCAGGGCCTCTGGGGGTGGGTGGGTGGGAACCTCTGCTGCTCCTTGCCCCGTGCCCCAAGACCTATTTTCTGAACTCTATTTGGAAATAATCACGATGCGTCAGATATTGCAAAAGTAGTACAGAGCGATCCCGTGCACCCCCAGGGCCTCGTACTCTTGCTGCTGGGTCCAGAGAGCTGGGGACAGGAAATGGAAGGGAGCCGATGGTGGCTGTGGGTGCTGGCCCTGCAGCCGGCCTTACCTCTCGAGGGCTCAGGTGGCTCCTCCGTGGGTCGACCCGGGCGCTGCTTGGACTCCGGCGTCCTCCCCAAGAGGCAGCCAAGAAACCTCTTCCCGGCCCTTCACGGCTGCGCCCTCCTGCCACCCTTCTGCGGCAGCCTGCGCCTCGACGGCCGGCGGGCGGCCCAGGGCCTGTGTCTGGGCTGGGGAGGGGGTAGAGTTTCACCCCTCCCCCTGGCAGCTGGCGGGCAGGGCCGGCCGCTGTATTTTAAGCTCTTGAGTGGTTCAGCTGGAACTTGAGGCTCCTCTCCCAGCGGAGGCTGGTGCTGCCGGCCTGTAGGCCATGGGGACTCTGAAAGCGGATGGGTACTGCCCACCTGGGCCCAGAGCCTATTAATAGACCTGCATCCCTGGGTGTCCAGTGCCTGCCCCGGGCCCAGCTGTTCTAACCCTTCCCAGCTTATTCCATTGCGCCCTTTGGCCTCACCCAGAAGTCCCTCTGGTGGAGCCTGGTGCTGCCCACCATGTGCCACTCTCTGCCCAGCCCTTGTTGTCCCTGTGTCTCAGAGTGGTCAGGTCTCCCAGGCCCCATAATTGGGCAGAGCCATGTGACAGCACGCTGTGAGGTAGGGTGGTAGGTAGGATCCCCGAGGGTTTCTTGGGTGGCAGGCTCTGTTCCAGGCATTTTTTCTGCTTGCCTCATGCCTACCATTGGGCCACTGTGTCACGGGTCAGCGGACAAATCACGCCACGACAGGGACTTGGTGGCCTGTAGGGGGACTGAGACTTGAACCCAGGCCCATGCTCTACGTGGTGGCAGGATGCCACGATGCCCACAGGACCTCCCTGCACCTGTCACCTGCGCTGACAGCCTGCAGCTACTGAGTGTGTCCCGTCAGGATCCCGCTGCTGCTTCACAGCCCGCTCACCGGGCAGACCCCTCTCTGCCTCCTCCGTGGCTGGGCCGTGCCCCGTCTCTCCTACTTTCAAGGACGTGCACGTGTTGTGTGTGTGCACGTATCTGTGCAGGGTGTGTGTGCACATGTCGGGAAAGGGTATGAGGGGAGCCCAGCTTTTGCAGTGTCACGGTGAAGCCCCTTCCATCAGGATGGGCTCTCCTCTTGGTGTGGGGGCCCTGTCTCCTGGGTGTTGGTGGGTGGGCGGATCCTCAGATGGCCCCTGCCCACCTGGGGCCGGCACTGAGCTTGGATCTCAGAGCAGTCTTTTGTTTCCATGCTGTCTCTGACCAAGGGCCCACCAGGGGCTCTGTGGGTGGGAGTGGTCACCAGCAGCTGCTGGACAGTGGCTGATTGGGAGGGAACTTGCACCTGCCTGCATGGCTGGTTCCTAACAGGGTTCCTGCCGTGGCACGCAGGCCTTTTGGGATCTGTACAGACGCTGATGGGCCTCGCTGCCGGCTCCAACAGCTACACCCTCTCATAGCTCATGCCTGGTGCCTTCTATTTGTTCCTTGGGATGGGTGGGCCACATGGCCCCAGGGACTCCCTCTGTCCCTGTGTCTGGCTCCTCGTCTGTGGGGTCAGAGAGAGGGGGCCTGGCTTCCTGGGTCCAGCACAGACCTGGCTGTGGCCAGGAGATGCCAACATGCTGAGACTCTGGAAGGCTCAGGCCTGGAGGGGCAGCGATGTGCTGGGAAGCTAGCCCCTGGAGGTGGCCTTGAATCAGGCCTGGGTGGACCTGGTGAGAAATTGGTGGAGTGGCTTAGGCGGGGGAGGGGGCTGCTCTGTGGGGACTGAGGCTCAGCACCTCTGCCGGGGTGCTTGCCTGGAGCTTCCTAGTGTCTGGCCGGTTCATACTTAGGGCGAGTTCTCTGCACCAAGAACTCTGGAATCTGTCACCTCCCTGGAAACACAAATGCACAAAGAGAGTAATCCCAAGTGGCTCTTATAGCTCAGGAGGGGAAATGGATGATCTATCTCGCAGATTCTCAAAATAGCTGGGGGTTCTCCAGGCCCAGTGAACTCGTCCACTGGCCTCCCACCAGCCTCCCTGGCCCTGAGGGGCCCCTTGGTGCCTGGCTCGGGGCTCTCTGGGCTTGGTCTGATGGGAGGCCATACCTACTAAGAAGCTTCTCTCTCTGGGTTGCTGGCCCCCTTTGAGCCCCCAGAGGAGGTTGGTGGCACAGCCCCGGGACTCAGTCTGGGCTGATTTTATATTTAGCTGTGCCGGGGCTGTGGTGCCACTCGGGTTACATCTGGCAGAGAAGCCAGCCGCGCAGGGCAGCGCGGGCTCCCTTCCAGCACCGCGGCAGAATTTGATCAGCCAGCCGGCCCAGAGCTGCTTCCAGTGGGGAGGTCTGTGGTGGGGGCTGACGGGTATCAGCCAGGCCACTGGCCGCGGCAGGCGTGGAGGGGAGCGGGCAGGGCTGGTAGCCGGTGCCGAGGGTGGCATGGATATGAACCTGGTGGTCCGAGAGGCCAGCCAGGGCCTCGCCCTAGACCTCAACAGCCTCCCTGGGCCTGCACCCCCCAAGACAGCCAAGAAAACTAAAAAGGGTGTTCTCTTCTTTGAGGTGGAGATTCTGGACGCAAAGACGCGAGAGAAGCTGTGCTTCCTGGACAAGGTAGGACTGTGGCTGCCAGCTGCCCCAAGCCAGGGTGCTGGGCCCGGACTCCCACTTCTTCCAGTGGCGTTAGCCAGAATCAGGGAGCAACCGCTTGGCTCGAGGGAGCCCAGGAGTATCCAGCGGGGCCCTGTAGTGCCCCCTGGCCCTCCCGGCCTCCCAGCGTGGGGTAATGCCCTAGCCAGTAGGCCACTTCTGGTCGTGGTAGACCTTCACTCTGCAGAGACAGGAGTCTAGGCTGTGAGAGGCAGTGAGCCACTCTGGTGGACCCTGCAGGGCTTTGGGGCCCCGGAAGGAGGCACAGAGTCCAGGCCTGGGGGAAGGAGCTTGGATCTTCCTAGGGGAGGTCTCAGCCAGACTGAGGGCTTCACTGTGGGCGTTGTGGGTGGGGCAGAGAGGAGAGGACAGACGTGAGGAGGTCGAGAGAAGCAGGCCCAGCTTCCGATGTTCAGACTGTCTCCCAGCTGGGCTGGGAGTGTTGTAGCCAGGGTAAGACTGGAGCCCCCAGGCCCAGGCCGTTCCCACTCTTGGGCAGGGCCCTCAGCTGCTCCTGTCGAAGCCAAGGAGCTGCAGTTCCTGCCCTGGCCCTGACCACGCAGATAAGGGACTGGGTCGCTGCCTCCACCCCCACCTCCAACTGCAGGGCTGTCTAGGCCATCAGCCTGGCAGCCCCCAAACAGCAGGGGCTGACAGTGCTGTGGCCTGTGCCTCTTCCAGGTGGAACCCCACGCTACCATTGCTGAGATCAAGAACCTTTTCACCAAGAGCCGTAAGTAGGGGTGGCTGGGCTGCCCTGTGTGAGCCCTCTGGGCAGGGCCTAAGGCCTGAGCCTCTCTCCCAGGGTCGTGTGGAGCTTCTCTGGGCTCAACTGGGGCAGGTGCCCTGCGTAGCCATCAGCAGTAACACCCTTCCTGGGCTTCTGGAAGGATAGGGTCTTGCTGCCCCTGCTCTTTGGGCTTTATGTCCTGGGACTGACTGCACAGGCCTCAGGCCTTGCCCAGGGCCGGTGGTGGAGCATTGGGTACCCGAGCCCCAGGACCCACAAGAAGCTGGGGGCTGGCACACTATGGAAAGGCACAGTGGGGTGGGCAGAGGGCAGGTGGGCAGGCCTGGGCCGTGGCCAGGCTGGTGCTGTGACTGGCATGTGCTCTCCCTGCAGACCCACAGTGGTACCCTGCCCGCCAGTCCCTCCGCCTGGACCCCAGTGAGTACAGCTGCCTGCTCGGCCATGCCTGGGGTAGGGGTGAGGAGCTGGGCAGTCCTGAGCCACCTGCTTCTCTGCAGAGGGCAAGTCCCTAAAGGATGAGGATGTGCTGCAGAAGTTGCCCGTGGGCACCACGGCCACGTTGTACTTCCGGGATCTTGGAGCCCAGATCAGCTGGGTGACGGTGAGTCCCGACCCCACTCGCAGCCTCCTTTCCCGCCTGTCACATCAGGGGTGGCTCACCTTGACCCCCACCCACCACAGGTATTCCTGACTGAGTATGCAGGGCCCCTTTTCATCTACCTGCTTTTCTACTTCCGAGTACCCTTTATCTACGGCCACAAATACGACTTCACCTCCAGTCGGCACACAGTGGTGCAGTGAGTGGGGGCGGGGCGGGACAGGGCTGGGTTGGGGGCCGAGGGCCAGCCCCGCCCCGCTGAGCCTGCTGTTCCCACAGCCTCGCCTGTATCTGCCACTCATTCCACTACGTCAAGCGCCTGTTGGAGACGCTTTTCGTGCACCGCTTCTCCCATGGCACCATGCCCCTGCGTAACATCTTCAAGGTGAG